ATTTCTCTGGTGGGGGGGTGGGCCGGCCTCAGCGGGAGAACGTCTTTCCACTGAAAAGCAAAACAAACAGAGGTTAGTTGAACAGTAATCATGTAGCACATATATTTACTGCAATGAAAACACACATACTTGCCCCAAGCATGTGTAACGCACCCTCTTCTTTTATGAGGGAACATTCCAGAGTCTTGTCTCTAAACACAAAGACTTCACCTCAATATTGGGGAGGGAAAATATACTTTGTCCCTTCAAATTTAACACACATGAATATATATAAGGTGACATTTAATTAACAGGAAGTTCTACCAACATTTTCTAAATCAACCAACATGTGATTCATTTCTATTTTCCAGAGAACATCTAATCCGACACTGTACAAACTCAGATTTCATGTGAAGTCTTTCTCCCTCTTCGAAACTCACGATAAAAGCGTCCAAGCCAAAAGAAAAAAACCTCTGAAAAAAATAAGAGAGATTCTTCGTCTTCCTCTTCCTCTCCTCCTCTGACGAGAATAAAGATGAGAAGCCCAAGGAAGAAAAAGAGGGTGAGGGTGAAAAGACCAAAGCCTGAGTTATAACACTATAAACCTGTGAAGCTACTTAAAGTTTGTCACTCAATAAATGATTTGAAAATAAAACGCCCAGCCTTGTTTTATTTCCTCTCTTTTGATACATGAAATGTGTGGCTATTGTTTCCTTTTTTAATTTGTATTTACCTTCATACAATACACTTGAATTATTCACAAAGAGCATTGTTTCTCAAGCAGGGCGATTTTTGCATAAAACATGATTTAGACAAGTCTAGTTTGGGTTGAACAAATGATGACTATTGAAAGAGTGCAGAAATGTCACTGTAAAACAATGGAATATATTTGATTGGCACCATTTAGGCATTATTTCGTTTTTAAATTCTCAAGAAATATCATGATCTTGTCAAAAACCTTACAGTAAACATTCAAACTAGAAATCTAAGGACTATATTAATACGATATATTTGAAAACCACTTTATAAAGACCTTGAAACCAACGTTTATAAAAAATACTTGCAATGTTTCTCAAGCAGGAATACTTTTGTATAAATTATGATTTAGACAGATGTTAAATATAACTTTAAATTCTATTTAGTAGTATGAATGCAAAAACTGCACACTTATAGCCTATGTATGGTACTCCTAGTGAACAGATTGACTTGCATTTGAAACAAGTCATTATTTACTAGAGAAAAAGTGCCCAAATGTTGGTGTCAAAAGTATTTTGAAAATAGTTTTGAAAGACTTTGAGCATTTCCAGTGTACAGCCCAGTTAATGCTCAAAATTGTAGTTAAACTTGTAATATTGTCCGAGGACATAGGAGGACAGAGAACCAAAGAGGTTGTGAAAGAATAACAAAATGTCTTCTGCCAGAGATGCTTTTTTGTAAGAGTGATTTATTTGTATTTTTTTCAAATGACAATGGTACAGACGACATGAAGCACAGAGAGGAGGAGAGGGGGGGTTGAAATCATCCGATGCGTGGATACTGCGTGGTGAGGGGGTTGAGGGGCAAGCAAGAGTACCAAATGGAGTAAAAGATATCGTATCAAGATCCGATTACAACAGAGTTACAACGAGAACGTGACGTCATATACGACGGGATGTACGGGCCTGTCCGATGTGGCGTTTGAGGCGTGTAGCGCGTCTGGGCGTGTCCACAGGGGTTTGGATTTCTCTGGTGGGCCGACCTCAGCGGCAGAACGTCTTTCCACTGAAAAGCAAAACAAACACACGATAAATACCACGGAAAGGAGTCAATCACACAAATAGACACCAGTTTTACAGTTTTGTGTTGTTGTATAGTGTTATTTTTCTTGTTGTAATCAATTCCCTACAGGAAGTTCTACCAACGTTTTCTAAATCAACCAACATGTGATTCATTTCTATTTTCCAGAGAACATCTAATCCGACACTGTACAAACTCAGATTTCATGTGAAGTCTTTCTCCTTCTTCGAAACTCACGATAAAAGCGTCTACTGGGGGGTTTTCTTCTTCCAGTTGCACATTAACTACAGAACAAAGACTCTCTGTGTATAAGCACTTTATACTTCCCAATTATTTCAGAGATAAGGGGCTAAAAAACTGAATATGTCAAGCTGTAAAAATTCCTTTCTGACTCACTTCAAACACACGGACACACCTCAGAAACACACAGAAAATAATGCAATGATAGTGTCTCAGAGCTGAATGTGGTAGTATTGTTCTCTTCTGAAATAATTCAATAGCATTACAAGTCCTTATTTAGGATCTGAACAGTGCGAGAGGAGGCTGTAACACATTGAATAATTCATAAGTCTGTAGGAAAATCCTCAAATGGCATAAAAGAAAACCACTAATTCATGTCGATGAGAAATCTGTCAAAACTAGCCAGAATGTCGGTTGTGATCTTGTTTTTCCTTCTGCCTTTTAATCTGAGGAATAGTGTAGAATCGAGAGGTGGGGGACTACTCACGACATGGTCTTCATCTCCTTCTTCTCGGCGTCGGGACGAGCGCGGTTCAGCACCTTGAGGAACTCTGACGTCTTGGCCCTCATGCGTGTGTGGATGTAGGCCTGCGGAGGACATGTGGAGACAATAGCAGGTGTTTTTACAAGGGTGTAATCAGCCAATGCTTCAACCACTCATTCATCCATCAAGTAAGGCTCCGGCTGCCGGCGTTTAAAGAATCACTCAAGAGCCGAAAACAATCCCCTGTCATGCGAAGAATGGCTTTGATTCGGTTTTACAGTCGAGAAGTCTCCATATCTTGTTTTTAAGTGTTCAGTGATGCCCACGCGCTTCCTCAGAAAACCTGTATGATGAGTTGAGGCGGCAGAGAGCGTCGCCACCAGTCTGGACTCTGTTTGAACTCCTCTCATGGACAGACTTTCTACCGTGAGAGTTACACTAAAGAGGCTGGGATGAACTTTACAAAAAGGTTTTATGACTTGTTTTGCATCCTGTTTAAAGCAGACTGACAGCCTGTTGTGCGAGTGTTTGACAGGGTTAGGGTAACTTTCTGAAAGTTCAAACATTTAGAGCCTGTGTTTTCCTTTACTTCAAAGGCTATATCGAATAATTGCACAATTTTTGACTGATATTACATTTAAACAAATGTATTTTGAAACCTTTATGATACCATTTGTAAGCCAGGATATCTCTGAAGCTCTACAATACTTCATATGAAGCATTTTAACTGATATTTAACAAATATTGGGCTTCCTGCGATTTGAATATGCACTAGTCCATATTTAGATTTCGATAAAAATACTGTAGCATGTTTCTGTTGTGGTGAGGTGACACTGACCTTGGAGCACTTTATGTGGTAGTGCAGGTAGTCCCTGAAGGTGTGGATGAGGTTGATGGTGTTGTCTCTGGCATTGGCATTGGTGTGACGGGGGAACAGGACTGTGAACATTGAAACAGAGCGTCAGTACATGACAGGTAGATCAGTTAGAAGAGCTCCAGCTGATGTTTGACGCGCACTGACCGAAGGTGATGTATCCGATGTTGTCCCCGACAGCGGCGTCCGTGTCCTTCAGCTCCAGCGGGGGCTCCCGGTGGCTGAACAGCACCTGGGGGGCCGTGTGGCTGGCTCTCCGACCCTCTTTGAACTCCTACAGGGGGGACATTTACAAATATATGTTTTTAAACTTTAATATTAAACAAGAGATCTAAAAAAAGAGAACACTGTTAAATCCTCGTGGCCTCACACCTGCATGAAGACTTTGCCGATGATGACGTCGTCGTCGTCTTTGAACACCGTGCTGAACACCACCGTCACTCTGTCTTTCTTAGCCTCCAGATACCTGAGAGAAAGAAACGGTTTTTAAAAAAAATGAATAGAGCTCAATTCCTCCATGACTTCTGTGTGAATGGGTGACAGCTGTATATGTAAAGCCCTTTAAGGGGGTGTAAAGACTGGATAAAGCGCTATATAAAGAACCATTTAGTTTAATTAAGGCAACAAAAGTATTGGTGAGGTCTAGGGAAACGTCACGGTTTGTGTTAGGCCTCTGAAACTGAAAATCTCCCACGTACATGGACTCATCGTCTCTGTAGTGGACCACGGCCCTCTCCTCGCCCTCCTTGCCCTCTTCCTGAAACTTGAAGTACTTCTCGAACACGGAGGCGAAGCAGTTCCTCTTCAGCATCCCCGCCTGGTGGATCACCTCCTCTTTATTGGCTGGTAGCGCATCCAGGTCGTAGAGCAGGGACACGTTGTAGCCTGGGGAGGGAACGGAGCGACACTTAGTAGAGATTGTACAAAATCTGGCACTTCTTTTTTTTTTTTTTCTGAGAGAGGAACAAGCTAACAACTACTTGGAAAAGATGTTGTAGAAATGAGGAACAGAGAAACCATGTGGTGATTTTAAAACTGATCTAATGTTAGCAGTACATTTGTGAGAACTTACCATCCTCTGTTGAAACCAGGAAGTCTCCATAGATCCTCTTGAGCAGCTGTAATTAACAAACGACACTTATTTGAAGTAGTTCACCAGAAAACATGACAACACAGCAAAAGAAAACCAGGATAAATATTTGAAAGGCTAAATATTAGGCTGCGTTTGACTAAATAAAGCACAACGGGACGGTAAAAGCTTTTGAAAATTGGCTTGATTTTGCAAGGTGATGATACTTTGAAGCTGGAAAAGAGAAAGGGTAAGATAATTGCAGATATGTCAATAAAAAGCAGAGATAGAAACAAATTGTCTGACCAACAAAAGCTTTACACTGTAGGAGGAGGGGAGGTATGTACTTTAACAAGAGGGGCCCCTCTAATGGATACCCGTCGCTGAGGAATGCAGCGAAAAAGACTTTGCAGTAATATGCAAATGTTGTATCTTCGCTATGGGCGATAATGGAATAGAGTAAAGTATTCTTCCTCATTTTCGTTCAGCTCAGTTCTAACCAGAAACAGAAAGTGGCTATATTTGTACTCTTGGTGGGCTGATTTTGATTACCGTGAGTAGTGTTGCAACCATTGGATATAGAGAGCACAAGATGAACATTATTATCTCTACTGCGGACAAAATCTTTTTCAAATAAATAAGCAATCTGTTCAATCTAAATGATCCAGAGTCGCCTAAATCTTCCAATAGACCCAAACTTAATCAAAATTACCAGGAGTACAAATAGTGGCATTTTGTGGGGAAAAGTGCCATGTTTGATACTGAAAATGTCAGAAATTGACTCGATAATCCCCAGAACCACTCCAAAATTGTCCAAATAGGCCAAACCACATAGGCTATAATTAGGGATGCTTCACACACGTTGCATACCGCTATTTTATTGTCTTTTTTGGACACCTTCAAATACTGTCAGACTGGTGAAGCCATTTTGCCGAGCTTGTCTTGCACAGAGAAAAGTGTCATGTATTTGATATGGGCTCCGAACAGTCTCATAATACACACATGCACATAGAAGGATTCACACTTGTATTTCATGATCCGCAAAAGGATCCACACTTGTGTTTTTTCAATGCATGTTCCGTTTCATATACATGTAAATAAAATCCAAATACAGAAAAAAGTTTTACATATGTATTTTTGATCCACACATTTGTTTTCCGTTTAAAACCTCTGAACCTACAAACACAAACCGCTTTCTGTGCACGGATCGCTGTGCATTCGTGTGTGGGTTTTTTGAGACTCCTCTGACGGTCAGCCGATTCGTACTTGTAATTTTTTCTATCTATAGCCAATCAGATGTCTCCTCAATTCTAAGCCAATCACATGAGCGCGCCCCCACGAGGGTAGATTTCTTGCGTTCATGACGTAGCGCTTCATGTACGCATTTTGCGCAGTCCGGAGCTGACAGGTCCATGGAGCCTGCCTGCAGGCGCTAATCTCAGGACACCTCCACTCTCAGTACATTGCCACTTTCCGAACAGGAAATGCACGCAAATACAAGCCTTTATATTATTCACTACGAAGCCAGTGCTAGACAGTGAACTGTCAACGGGGGGAGCCCCGCCGGTCATTATCGGCCGATATTCACTCTAAATAGTTTGATCGGTGCTCTCTATAAAGGCCGATCAGGAGAGCTGGATCTGATCGATATGGACATAAACGCGAGTGAAGTATAGAGAGAGAGAGATCAGATCAGCTGCTGAGTCTGACGGAGACATGCAGCTCTGCATGATCAACTGAAGCTCCGCCCTCTGTTTAGCGAGCTGACCGGACTGTGCAAAAGGCTTATATGAAGTGTCATGAACGCAAGAAATCATACCCTCGTGGGGGTGCGCTCATGTGATTGGCTTAGACTGGAGGAGACATCTGATTGGCTATAGATGAGAGAGTACGAATCGGGTGAGCGTCAGGGGAGTCTCAAAAAACCCACACACGAATGCACAGCGATCCGTGCACAGAAAGCGGTTTGTGTTTGCAGGTTCAGGGGATTTAAACGGAAAACAAATATGTGTGGATCAAAAATACATTCCACATTCTGCGTTTGGATTTAAAAATGTTTTTATTTACATGTATATGAAACGGAACACATTTGTGTTTGCATTGAAAAACACAAGTGTGGATCTGGAAAAACAAGTGTGAATCCTTTTGCGGATCATGAAATACAAGTGTGAATCCTTCTGTGTGCATGTGTGTATTATGAGACTGTTCTGAGCCCATAATTTTACGTAATTTGATCGGCTCTCCTGATCGGCCTTTATAGAGAGCACCGATCAATCGGCCGATAGTGAATATCGGCCAATCACGATCGGCGGCCGATCGATCGGAACATCCCTAGCTATAATGGGAATTCATTCTAAATCAATGCATTGTGTCCTAATTGTGCAAATTGCTCAACATATGCAAGTTAGCATCCAGCAGTTTCTATATGCTGGGGACCCGTACTATAGATTTCTAACCTAAAACTTTTATGGTACTCAACATTTCCGGACTACAGTCTGAATAACTGAATCTGATTATTTTATCCCTCTGCTCTACAGTTTTAGGGAACAAGGAGGAAGTCTCTGGACGGCAGCCAACACACACACACAGCGGCGGAGGCTGCTGCTCACAGTCAGCATTTCCTCGGCTGGGGTGAGTCACACACACTCACTTCCTGTTTCTACCAGAAGCCTCCGCGGCTGCTTTCTTCCTTACATGGCAACAGAGCCTCTGTGCAGAGGTGTGTGTGTGTGCAGATAGCAATCATGACCTCATTCTGACTTTGTAATACTAATTTTCACACCAAATCAGAAAGAAATCAAGCTCATCAGCACGTTTGCCTATTTAAGTGTTGCAGCAGCTTGCATGGTGGTGACAGTAGAAATGATCTTAATAATCAAATGTATATTATGAAAGCAACTCTGGACATGCACATGGAATATTTTGCAGGGGGTTTATTTGTGTAGCTCCCACATGTCATACCTCGTCAGCCCCATGCTCCTGCAGCTCCTTGTAGAACTTCAGGGAGATGCTGACCATCACTTTGGTCTTCTCCCCGTTGGGGTTGGAGATGTGGTACAGGACGCCATCGAAGTCTGCAGCAGAGAAAAACATTCAAATACTGCAGGTGGATAATGAAAGACAACCTCCTATCCCCTATCTTTATGGCATCTTGGCTCGATTTTTAACAACTTAATTAGTAACCTCAATGCATTCCTGTATTTAAGATTATTTCAGTCAATTCAACATGAGTGATGTAACATTTAGTGTCATCTAGCAGCGATTACTGGCAGGACTGAGTGTGTGCAACGGGGTTGATTTGCATAATCATTGCAGTGACAGCACAGCTAAAAAGAAAATATTTTGAGAGAGATAAGACATAACCTCACCTGCAAACGTCACATCGAGGCCCTCTGGCTTGGTGCTGCAAGGAGAGAAAAAAAGGATGAGGCATAAGGAGGAATGTACATATTACTGTACATGCAATCTCTGTCAAAATGATCCCTCAGAATATCAACAAATGACACTTTAAAAAGTTGTGCAGATAGCAATCACAAATAACTTCTAGCTTCTCAATTGTGAGGAATTGCTTGCCTTTTTAAGGCCTTACACGATTTAGAAAGGTATAATCAGCATACTTTAAATACTTTCTGACATTTTAGACACTAAAGCGACTTGGCGTGTAAACAATATTCATAAAATAGTAATACAATATTTGCAGGTATCATAAAGTCTGCCATTATATGATTTTGATTTAATTCAGGGGTCAACGATATATATGTATATATGTAAGTATGGTAAGCCTATTTGTTACATGAATATGACATTTTCACTTTTGCATCCATAATTTGGGATATTTTATTGTATCGAAGTAGCTATTCAATTGAGAAAATAAATAATCGGTTATGAACATAGTTGTTGCAGCCCTGGATGCAACATCTTTCACAAAAACAATGACAGTTAATCACATTTCTTCATGCTCTGATTTCATTTTAACATGGATTTCTTAATGAGTCACATTAACAAAACCGTCTTTTCTTAAACCAGCAGAACACTATCAAGGGGACTCTCAGTTAAGTTGTACATTTTAACATTTACTGAGGGGTTTCTGCAGCAGCTTGTCCAAACTGGAAGGAGCTGCAGCAGCTCAGACGAGACTCAGCTTGACTACAGGAATGCGGAAGTTGCAGAGGGGCGATGGTTAGCTAACATGTAGCCGCTAACGGGTCAATCAGATAAGACTTAATTTAATAGAATCAACCAACTTTCATTTCACATTTCCAACGCTGCGTTGTTGTCATGTTTAATGTTGTGGTTTGACATCAGGATATCCGGCAGTCCATTATTAACGAAGATTAACCACACACACTGCGGTCTGCTAGCTACTGTTAATGATATGCAACCTCGTAAAACGTTTAATTTAACATTTGTAGGGTAATTAGTTGCATAATAATAAAATATATTCTATATTTTACACCCAGGGATTCTGGGAGAGCAGCCAGGGGAGATAACAAATTATGATAGGGGTTACAAATGGTGTCACAACACTGCCCGTGGTCAGCAGACACACCCCAGCTTTAGGCAACCCAGTCACGGACTATCAGCCAGATCATTCACGGTGTTATATTTCGGTAATTTTCACAACAAATGCGACCAATTAGCTGACTTGTGCGAAGCTGCATCCGAACACTGCTGTGCTTCATTAAAAGCAGCTTCATCTTCGTCAGAAAGCTAAAGGGGAAGCTAGCTGTCGTTAGCTCAATGCTAGTCAGGTGTAACAATGATTTCTTACCCGTTGGACGCGCCGTCAAACTTCAGCGACAGCGTCTCCTCTATAATGCGGTTATTGATCTCTAACAGGATCATGGCGGCGGACACCGGTGCGAGGAAAGGGGGAAGATCGGTGCTTTTAGGTGGGATTAACCGCTTTGTGTCAAATTCTGCTAATCTTTTTTCTCCCTTGACAGACCGAACCGCTTCCGTCGAGGCTACTTCCGCCTGCCGCTTCCGCGTATTTTACAATCAGGACCCCAACAGATTAGGGGGTCGCAAGGATGCCTGTCGTTAATTCCTAACTAGGATATTTGTCAAAATCAGAAACAGGTTATTTGCCAAGTAGGTTTAAACCTCTATGGTCTTAACATGCGAGGAATTTGCCCTTGATGTACATGGTGCATACATAAAACACAGTTAAAGAAGATTACAAAGTAAGAAAAACAAACAAAACAAAAATTAAATATAAAAAATATATATATTATACGATAAGATATAGAACATATGTACATGAAATCTGGATATACGAAAAACCAAGTACTGTATACTATTGCAAAGTACTTAGAATAAATAGTGGGCAGTGCGTTGGTGTTCGGATCAGGGGAGCACAGGTTCAAACCCCACTGCAGTCAGCATGTCGTTGTGTCCTTGGGCAAGACACTTCACCCCAAATTGCTCCTGTGGGGATTGCCCACAGTATTGAGTATGTAAGTCGCTTTGGGTAAAAGCGTCTAACAAGTGACATGTAATGTAATGTAATGTGATAAATAAAAAATGAGTGCGGTATTGTTGTGGAAAGTGGAAAGCTGTGTAGATAGAGGGGTAGAATTTATCAAAAATAAACTGGTCAGCAGCTATTTAATGAATGGATGACGGAGATTAACTATGTTGTTGTGCTGTTTTGCATCACCAACATGTCCAAATACTGCTATACAAAACAGGTTATTGCTTCTTCAAAAACACATTTACTCAGATCTTAATTCATATATTGATTTTAACAAAGCCGTCTACACTTAAATGATTTGCTTTCTTCTTGAACTTTTAACTTTTTAATTATTGCTGTTCTAACTACTTAAGCCTCAATTAAATATTTTTAATGTAACAGTCACATCAGCATTGGCCCAGATTCCTGTATGCACCAAAAGTCACTTGATTTTTGGTAATTGTTGTGGTTTACTCATAATTATATGTATTAAAATAGATAAATGACACTGCTGTTCTCACCTGTCAAACTAAAACAGAGTAAACAAAGTCATATATTTTCCTTTAACATGAGAAGTATTAGGAGTAGTACAATATTACAGGTGTCAGACTACATGGCATGTTCTAATTGTCATCTATGAAAGTAAAGACTTTAATCAGCAACTCAACACACAATACTGGTTTGACTGACATGCATGACAGCTCGTCAATTTTAAGCATTTCAAATCGAGCATTCCGATAAAAGAACATTTCAAATACGTAATTAAGGAACTACTGTAAAGTTAATGCCAAAAACAAATAAATATTAAAGGTCACCTATCATGCTGTTTGTAGGCAATAGCATAGGTCTCAGATATTTAAAAATATATAAAAAACATGTGTATGAAGTGTTTTGCTCAAAATACCAAACAGATCACCCATTCTAGCCATGCCTCATATCCCTCTATTTCACTTCCTGTTTCAAAAATGCTGATTTTGGGTATAAAGCTTTAAAAAAAAAAAAATGGATAAAAAAAGGAGGGGGAGATGCTACAGGCAGATACTGTCCTGCCCCTCTATTAGCAAAGAGCCTACTTAGGGTACTCCATACACAAAGTAGTNAAAAAAAAAAAAATGGATAAAAAAAGGAGGGGGCTGAGCTCATGCGGGACCCGGCAGCTACTGTCTAACTAAATACTGCCGTGATGAAACGCTGTATCATGGATTATCAAGGATTATTTCTGAAACAGTATGGAGCTCAAAGGCTTTCCCTCTTGCCGGATAAAAAGGTGAGTTCCTTTTTATTTCCTGCTTCTTCACACACATGCTCTCCAGTACAGGTTAACTCTGAGTGTTAGCGATGCTAATGTAAACACCGACCATATTACGTCCAGAACAGTCGGGCATTGTTTCTGATAGCAACTTTCTGATATGGCCGTGGGTCCACATTTCAGATATTACGTCATATCGGACGCAAATCTGGATCAGCTCCGTTGTACCCCCGTTTTTAGAGATTTGGGTATGGAGGAAAAGAGAGAGGGTTTTATTTTCTGACGCTGCGTGAGTCCCTCGACAAACCCGGGACACATATTGATGTATAAAAGACATCAAAAAGTGCATTTTGCATGATAGGTCCCCTTTAGAACACATTTAGTCATATTACTGATGGTTTGCTCGTACATGCTGAACAAGGATTATAAAGTCTGATATATTTTATTTTAAAGAACAGCAGTCGACAATACCTGAAATAATAATAATATGAATTAATTGATGGTGATGTTAGTTGTAAACTCTACAAGACATCTCAAATCAAAGATGGTTTTATTTAAATACATTTTCAAGTCATGCATTTATGAATGCAGGCTTTTACTTGTAATTATGTATTATAATGTGTTATCGGACTTTAATATGATCTCAAAATGTAAAATATTATACATGTATATCCCAAAGGACTATAGAAAACAAACGGTGAGGACAGCAAGGTGGGGACAGCAGAATACTGTCCAAACGGCTGACCTTTGTCAAATAAAGTAACTCATAAAAAGTCTTATCTTTTGAATACTGCCACACTCCCAACATAAAGTAAATTCCAAGCTAGTTGGGAATTTAAAGACATTACAACTTCATGCAGGAACTTTAAAAAACAACATTTTTGATAAGAAGACAGATTATTAAGTAATAACCATAGACTGTATATGGTAATAACACATCATAATGGTGTCATACTTGACACTTTGTAAAGGGTCTAACAAAAACACTCTGGTATTAGAAGAAAACGTTTTTTTTATACATCTTTCTTACATCCAGCTAATTTATATTGTAATTAAGTATGTTCTAAAGGGAGAAGCTCAGAACTTAATGTAGTTTTATAAAAGTTATATTGTATTTCTGTAGTGGAGTAGTTTAAATATACCAATAGATCCTGAATTCTTATAATTAATCTGCATTATTTTTTATTTGTATTACAGAACTTTGAACAAAACAGACTTTCTGCCCTCGGTTCATTTGATTAGAACTGTAAATCTTTGCGGTGATGATGAATACGCTAAAAATTAAAAACCGGCCATGCTGGTTGGGGGACAGTCATGCTTCCTGACGGAGGATGGACACAAGACACTACTGTCATTTGTTGTGAGACAGCTGGAGGGGTGAAATGTTAAATATTGTGCAATTTTCTACTCTCACCACCTGAATAAAGTTATTTACTGAGCCCAAAGGGGGAGGAAGAGGAGTTATTTTGTGTCTAGGCACACATTTAGTTTGACTTTATAAAGGAGAGGTGCGTCAGTGTGGCCCTTTCATCAGCTTCCTCCTCTGTCATTACCAGGAAAGTGCACCGATATTTTAAGAGGCTGTTGCATCAACCTGACAAAAGAACAAGACAGCAAACATATCTCAGTGACACTCAGTGAACTTCAGAATCCATTGCAGTTAGTTTAATATACATTCAACTGTGCATTAGGTTGGCTCTGCGTTGTCCCACCGAGGCATGGGTATCAAAAATAATAAACAGTTTTGAATATATGGGGATTTATTAAGTCCAACTTAAGCAATTACTGCCAACTAGCATTAGTTTGACCAAATGTTCTCTGCACTCTTACTTTAGCTTTATTCATTAAAACAGAACACCTGGTAACTTATTAAAGCAGGACTCTCAGTATGGGAAAAAAACAGGGGAACAATGCTGGACTTATGCAACAGTAAGAATGAGAAGAAAACACCTAACTCATTTCCAGAAAATGTCACAATAAAACACCTTACATCACACACACACACACACACACACACACACACACACACACACACACACACACACACACACACACACGACACACGACACACACACACACACACACACACACACACACACACACACACACACACACACACACACACACACACACACACACACACACACACACACACACACACACACACACACACACACACACACACACACACACACACACACACACACACACACACACACACGCACGCCCTGTTACCCAATGACTTGAGACCAGGTCATGTGAAGTTGTATCCGGAAAATCTTTTGAGTTAGAGTTAGTTGTTTGTAAAATATGCTTTCAGGACAAAAATAAATATCAGTGTATCATTCAGTTCATCTGAGATATTAAGTCGTAAAGCCCTAAAGGAATTTGTACTGTTGAAATTCTATAAGATGTCTTTTTCCAAATCCAATAAATACTAGAGATGTTTTGAGAACGTGGCATTTGTGATAACATTAATTAATTTGGATAAATGGGAAAATAGTTTTCCAAACCTGGTGGAAAATGAACATCATAGAGCCCCCTTTAAAATGTTAATTCTTTACTTGTATTTCATGTGCATTTATGATAACATTTTCTATGTTTTTTAAAGGGCAATTCCTGAGAAGAATTGGAGCACAAAAACAGGCTATTCATTTATTACTGCTCGTCTTACTGCTTCTGCGATACTTCTATTTTAAAGAGAACCAAGCAACAATCATTGCTTTCACTATTAGTACCTATAGGCTTTTTTATTGTGACATGTCAAAATGTGTTCCAGAAGAAAGGTGTATTGCAGCAAAAGCATTTGACACACATATGTCCCGTAACATATTGGGTAAGGAAACAGGACATTGTGTCAACTCTCCGTAAAACATTTAAAGGGACCCTGAGCGGCATTTAGGGGGAGAGCTGCGGTCGTCTTTAAAGTCCAAAGGTGAGTGCCTGAAGTAGTTTATTATCATATGTGTTAAAGGGAGACTATTTTATAAAGAGATAAAGGCCAATTGTCTTTGACCCTTCCAAAAACTAGTATTGTGCATCATTTTATTATTGTTTGCACCTTTTCTAAGTTGAATTTCGTCTGACGCTATACCTTTCTTTTAACTATCAATTCCTGAGCAAGAAAGAAGGCAGCATAGGGGTTTGAATGCTTTACTAAATATTTTTAAAGGAATATTTCACCCCAAAAATGGTGGTATATCAATTAGGCACTGTGTTATCTTCAGAGAACTTTGTTTAGCAGAAGTTGAATGTGCTGCTACTGTATGATAATCTAATGCTCTCAATCTGTTTTCCACCTATAGTCATGTCGCTCTTCTTTGAATACATGTATGGGGAAATATTTCCGAATTATACCATCCATGAAAATTACACGCCCTACGTTGTGGATCCAAATACGTTATCATGTGAGACAGAACCGCTGCCTGCGACACCAGCTCTCATGATATGTCTCATCCTCATAGCCATCTTTTTACTGGCCATACCGGGGAACCTGTTGGTTGGATGGGTGATCGGCACCAGCAGACAGGTGCTGACTCCATCGGACGTGTACTTGTTCCACCTGACGATAGCAGACGGTCTGATGGCCCTCACCATCCCGTTCTGGGCCATTGCGTTGCTTAAAGGATGGATCTTTGGGGACTTCCTGTGCAAATTCCTCAACCTCGTCTTCGATGCAAACTTCTACACCAGCATCCTCTTCCTGGCCTGCATTAGCATCGACCGTTATCTGGTGATCGTGCACGCGAGTCAGAACGTCGGAGTCGGGACTCGACAGAGGAAGTGCAGCCGAATCTTGTGCGCGGCGGTTTGGTTATTCAGTATGGCCCTCGCTCTTCCCGCTCTTTTCAACTACGCCTTCAAGCAACAGGACTCAGAGAGGATGCTCTGCCACGAAACCTTTGACATGGGCAGCGCCACCTCATGGAGGAATGTCACCCATGGTTTCCGCCATATTTTTGGCTTTTTGCTCCCTCTGTTTGTGATGATATATTGCTACAGCGTCACCATCGCCAAGGTGCTGCACAGTCGAGGTTTCCGGAAGCACCGGGCCATGAAGGTCATCATAGCTGTGGTGGTGGTGTTCCTGCTATGCTGGATGCCGTACCACACGACCATGATTGTGGACATCCTCATGAGGATGGATCTGATTAGTTTTGACTGTGCTTTGAGGACGTCAGTTAACCGGGCTTTGGTGATAACAAACAGTCTGGCTCTGTTCCACAGCTGCATCAACCCTGTCCTCTACGCCTTCGTGGGAGAGAAGTTCAGGAATAAGATGATGCAGCTTTTTCAGCAGAAAAAAAGACAGGAGCAGGTGTCTAGGACCAGCAGGTCCACATCGCAGACCTCAGAAGGCAACGGAGCTATTCTCTAAACCTCAAGTCAAGTCAAATATATTTCACAAATTCACTCCTTTCATTTTTTGCTGCACTGCTGCCATCTATTGAATGTACTGTTGTTTACCGTCTCACTTTTCCAGATCTGATGTTCATTTTCTTCTTAATCACCGTGACTCTACTTTCATAAATCCAATGTTTCTGTGTTTATTGAAATGCTGTGAAGTATGTAAAAACTGTTATATACTGTAAATACTGCTGGTTTGTCAGTAAAACTCCAGAAATGTTTAGAAATGCTATTCACATTTCATGATCTGATATGTTCTTCATTACAAATAAAAGGCTTTGCAATGTTATCTGTATTGAGTTACACAATATTAACACTTCGAGCGATAGAATTACTAACAAATAATTACTAACAAAGCACTTATATACTAATAAAGGACTGGCTTATCTAAAGCCAGTTGAGTAGCACTTGAAATGTTTTGGCTCTATGAAACCTGATGTACTTATATGATTCTGTTTTCTTCAAGTTTGTATCTTCTTGGTCGAATGCACTTATTGTAAGTCGCTTTGGATAAAAGTGTCAGCTAAATGCAATGTAATGTAATGTAACATTATCAGTTAGGTATAATATTGTAACATCATATTGTTATGCAACATGCAATGAATTTCATATTTTATCATAAGAAGTATCTTTAAATATTTGTGTTGGTTAAAGTTTTTATCCAGCAGAGGGCGAGCAAAACACTTGCAAAATAAAAAAAACGAGCTATTGCACGGACATAATCGTCACTGTGTGTCTTCTTACATCGTATTATACATTTATAAATCCAGTTTAATTCACTTTTAGTTGAGAAATCAGGGTTTTACCAGCTTTGTCGCAGCAGTTAAATTGCCGAACTACATTTCCCAGGACTCCTTGCGATGACAGAAGAGACAGAGACCGGGCAGCTACAAATTAAACTGCTGCATTCAGATGGACCACACGAGGTATGGGACGTTTTATCAATTCCTTGCATACTAAAAATGACAAACAACTATAAGTGTTTTCTTGACATGTAGCCAGCATGTTGTTTCGTACACGGGCTGTCAGTTACTTTCTCTGAAGCTAATGTTTTTAAAAAAAATCATTTTTGTGGCAAAAAACAGCAACGAGACTGCATTGTTGTCATAGTTGTACACTATTAGCCAGCTTGCTAACTTCGCACCTGGGTCATGAGTGCTATTAAGCGATTGTACGCATTTTAGTGTCGTTGTGACACATAAAACAATATAACCTTTTAGCACTGTTAGCTCATTAGCAGCTAACTCACTGTGTTTACTATGAACTGCTTGTGTAACTTGTTTGCCTTGCACCTACAAAAATGGACGCGTAACGTCAGGCCAAGAAATCCATCTCTCAGGAGCACATTTCCATAGAGTCATATCAGTTTAATTGTAATGTGTTGACATATGTTTATAGATATTTCGTTATTTATTACTTTTTGAGCAAGAAATATGCTGTAACAAGCACATTTGCCCACTGTTGAATCAATAAAGTGTTATCTTATCTTTAATGAACATTTTGTTTTACAGAAAAAGGGTAAATAATCCAAGTTCCAGTTTATTCAACTCATTATGTGCATAATATTTTTATCAGTATTTTTCGACTGCTGGGTCTAACAAAACAAGCTGTTGTGATGGGCATTTTCCAGTGTGTCTCAATAATTTATTCACAAAACAAGTGATTAAGTGTTAATTGTAGCCACGTTAAAGAAAATTAAGCTACAGTCACCTTTCTGGACAGTGTCAAAATAGTCTGATTTACTAACAATATTGTTATCTTTTCAGGTTAACAATGACACCAGACCAGGCCGCTGGATAGAAAATGTCACAGTGGAGCAAAGGTCAACATTTTCTTCTACATGCAAATGGCAGCATGTAGCATTTTAACCACCCTACTAAATGGATATATTTACACCATTCCTGTCATGGAGACGAAGTCTGGTTGAACCCCACAACATTTAGTTTCCTCATTTCATTTAGGCTGCTGACAAAACAAATCCTCACATGGTGATTTAACTCTGCAGGAAATAGAAACACTGCATCACAATGGTCGCTGATGACACAGCAGGGAGTGGGGACAGATCAGAGGGGGAAAAAGAGATGGACTTGAAGGAAGATGGAGACGTGGAGATGGTCGTCCCTGCTTCTGAGAGCCCGGCTCCCTGCGAGGGTCCCACAGAGGCAGCCGTAGAGCCAAGGAAGTGGAAACGGGCCGTAATATTCCTGTGTTTCTTTGGGTTTATGTCATCGATAAAGCCCGGGGAGCCTTTCATTACACCATATCTACTCAGTACTGAGAAGAACTTCACAAGGCAAGAGGTAAGTGGTGGCATGTTTAAAAAAATACATACTAACCTGAAAGTAAAGTTAACCTGTAAGAGTCTTTCGTAAGGTTGTCTACATGCAGTCAGGCACTCATTACACAGCACTTTTAATGAATGTTCTGTGGAAACTGAGTCTGCTGATCCATGTTACTGCAGGTCAAAGTTCACATTCCTCCAAACTGCTATGTGAAAAGTGGATTGGGGATTTTTAGAGTTTCTTTTTCAAAGAAAAATTGACCTCGTACCAATATTTGATTTCCTGTAATCTAGAAACAAGACATTTCCTGAAACTAGATGTTTAAGACACTCTATGTTAGGCAACTTTACAGCCAAACCAGGGTGCTTATTTTCAAGAAATAAGCTGCTCCTGACTTACATTGTAATCAGCTGGGATTACATGTGTATACAGCATTTTTATGGATAAAAGTCAGACATGACTTGTTCTATATAAACCAACTATATGCAATATGCAGGAAAAAATGTACTTTATCCTATATTCTTATTGTTTAAAAGTTCAATTTTCCAGATTAATTGTACCAAGCAAGCATGGAATAAACTCCACAAGCATTTTAAGGAGTTTTAGTAGTGCTTACATGTTATAATACATTATATTGCATCAATTTTATCAGAAGTGCACCTATCATTTTTATTTGCTCGACTGCGTTAATACAGTACCACAAACATGATGTGAACTAAATGTGTAGCCTTCACCCACCTCGCTGATTTATTAATTGACTATTCCAGGTGACCAATGAGATCACTTCTGTGCTCACATACTCCTACATGGTTGTGCTGGTACCGGCCTTCCTGCTGACCGACTTCCTGCACTATAAACCGGTCCTGATCATCCAGGGAGGGCATCAGTCAGGTGGCCATCTGGATCCTCCTGCTGCTGGGCACCACCCTCCGCAGTTCATGGAGTTCTTCGGCATCACGGTCAGCCCCGCTCTCTACCAGCGAGTGGCGGGATACTTGCGCACCGCCGTCCTCCTGGGGATGTTCACCAGCTCGGTGCTGGGACAGATATTCATCTCTGTCTGACGCGTCAGCTTCTACACCCTCAACGCCATATCTATAGGCTCTGGTCCCTGTGGTGGATCTTCAACTCCACCGGGTACTACCTGGTCCTGTTCTACATTCACATCCTGTGGAACAAAGTCTACCCGGCCACGGAGAACAAGAACGTTTATAACGGGGGAGTGGAGGCAGCTTCTATACCCTGCTGGGTGAGACTTTTATTCAGATACAGTTTGTATTTGTGGTTTTGCACAATTTGAAAACCAACATAACAGAGAACCGATGATATACTGTGCAAGAAGACACACTGGGCTTATTTAAAGCCTCCACCTAAATAATGCCATGAGAAAAACATGCGTGCCTCTGCATAATGTCAATATTAAGCACCAAGACAACAATATTGCGTTGAATCCAGAGATCAAAGTCTGAGGAATTACGTCAGTTGTGAAAACGATGTTGACATCTCTTTAAACTTTTTATTCTGCTGAGCGGTTACTTCATGTTTCGTCATCCTTAATGGCCCTTTAATCAGCTGTAAAGAACAAAGGTAGCAGTTTGTTTAAATAACCTGGAAGTCGTGCAAGCAGTAAAAGTTATGTTGTAAATAATGAACAAAACTTCCATATAAATTGAAGTTAATCTCCTGGTTTGAACAAAATCTCTTTACTTTTGTTTAGCAAACAGATGAAACACATTGATGGCTACTACAAGAGTTAAATGGACGTCTCTCTCCCTGCAGGTGCAATCACCTCCTGCGCCGCCGGCTTTGTCACGATCCGCTGGAACGTGTGGTCCGAGCTGGTGATCGGCGTCATCACAGCGCTGCAGGCGGCTCTGCTGCTCCTCATGGGGACCACCGACAACATCTGGATCTGCTACGCCGCCTACGTCCTCTTCAGAGGCTTCTACCAGTGCCTGGTGCCCATTGCCACGTGAGTCACAATTAAAACACGTTATCAAAACACATTTTCTGAAAGGGGAGCGGGATACTTTAATACTGATGCATCCGTTCTTTAATCCTCACAGGTTCCAGATAGCCTCGTCTCTCAACAAGGAGCTGTGTGCCTTAGTGTTTGGCATCAACACGTTTTTTGGGACCATACTGAAGACCATCATCAACCTCATATTTGCTGACAAGAGAGGCCTGGGGCTGGACGTTCACTCTCAGGTAAAACAGACATTAATTACCTGAACGCTGGCAGTGTGTGTCCTTAGATGTGCCTCATACCACCAGTACATCAATTAGTAAGCTTTTATTTCACATTGTTACTTTAGCTTGTGTATTATGGTGATTAACGCGATAACATTTCTAAAATGATTAACTCCACCACTCATTCAAAGATGTCTTCTCTTACAGTTCCTGGTGTACTTTGTTTACTTCACCATCCTCACCGTGGTCTACCTGGTCTGCGCCGCTGTGGTCATCATCCGTCACTATAGAAACGAGGCCAGGGAAGGGGCCACGCCCACAGAGCTCAGCCCGGTGACTGCAGACTCAGAGGTAGAACCTTTATCTAACGGCAACAGTGCCAAAGCTTAACGACGGGAAGTGTTTTCGACGAATATCTGACGTACATGAGTTTTTACTGGGTCCTTTAAACCCTCTGATTACCACAGAGGAGACTAAAGTGAGTCTTAATCATTAAGTGCCTTCATGAAACTTTTTGTAACTGAAAAGAGTATTTTACTTTGTTTTTTTACTTTATACCAAGAGAAATCATCTTAAGCATAGGGCGTTTTATTTCATTTTGGTTTTTTTACAGGATGCTGACCTGTACTGTTTCACTGATCTAAAACGCTGCGCCATGATTACTATGTGATCACCTAGTATTACTCTAAAACAGCTACACACTCCTATCCTACCTAATGTTACAAATAATAATAATAATTGAATAACTTTTTTAGTGAGATACAGTTTACCTTTCTGTATGAAAAATCCCATTTCACATAATTTTCGTACAATCAGATTAATTGAAGCTGCAGATTTTATGTAACATGTTATATAGTTTGATTTATTTATATTGAATATTTCGGACAATAGGAAGCAGCAGCAGTTAGTCAGTAGTTTTGCTGCTTATTGGCTCATTTTTTGTCCAAGTACGACTGTTTTGTTTAATAAAAACCTGCAGGAAAAAGAATGGAGAACATAGGAACACATGAAACTACTATTGATGAAACAGGAACCAGACATTTAATATTTTTATAAAAATGCTGATTTGTGTCCCTTATTTGAACACAAGGAATTTTGTACACTACACAGTAGTAGTGTTTTGACTTGCATACAGACTGTATTATAATTATTGATTGAAATCATTGCTGAAATATAATGTGACTGTGAATCTGTCCGACTGCTGTAAAGGAAAAACACTGACTTTAATCAAATGTTTTTTTCTTAGTCACAAATAAAATAACCTTTGGTGGAAAAAAAAACTTTAATCTTTTTTTTTTTGATAACATGAATCTATTCCCTGATACTGAATGTGTTGCTAAATTGTCAATTTCAAGGATAATGCCGGGAAAATCCTTGCAACCAGGTTAAGATATACAAGTACAAAATGTATTTTAGATGTTGATCATCGACTTTCTTTGTAAGAGTTGTTTTTTCAGCTGCAGCCTCAGCATGAAGACAGAGACTCCACCGATTATTTGTTTCTCTGCGTTTCTTAGGAGGTACATTTTTCTTTTGTTGCTACAGCTGAACACTGGCGCCTGACAACATATCTTTTTTTAAATGTTAAACTGCTCATCTTCAGGTTCATATTAGTATTTTTACCTCCGTCACATGTAGGGATGGGTATCGTTAAAGAGCATCTTGCAGGTTTTTATTCTTTCTACATTTATGCTTAAACTTGCTTGAAAATTACAATTAAAAAAGTGAATGCAGGATTTGATATGTTTTACGAGACATAAGGGCAGGAATTCAGAGGGAAAGGAGCAATTAAAAATGCTCTTAAAAACGGCTTTTTTTTAAGGTCATACGTCAAACGCGTCATATTACATCACACAGGGGACACATCTCCGCTCTCTGACCGCGGGTAGAGTTGCGTTGAGTAGAGCGGTTGTGTTTTAAGGAGCTGGTATTTTTCGGTAGTTTTACATTGTATTTCACCATTTGTAATCATGGTGCAGTATTGTGTTTGTGCAGGTTGCACAAATACCAGCCTGTCAGGACATCGAGTCCACAGTAAGTAGTAGCGTTCGTTCCTGGGTGCGTTGTGCATCCACCTCCCTGCAGCACATACTCTCCACAGCTTTATCAGGAAACCGTATTACTTCTCTCTCCCCCTCCCTTCGCTGCTCTCTCTCCCCTCCGGTACACGGCACCGTAAGACATAGTGTGGAGTTGCATTAGGTAACGCTGTGGTGGCTGTACTGCTCCAGCCGTCTCCTTTGTGTTTGTTTGTTTCCCCCTGTCTGTGTTGTTTGTGTGTGCGTGGTGGCTGTCACTCCCGGCTCCCGGCTCAACCTCCACTCACCTGCTGCAATCAGCTGTGCACCCTCCCCGACTACACACCTGCTTTCCATCAAGCCATTTACAACGACATATCAACGGAGGCTCCACAACCTTTCTCCGCCAGATCGTCAAGTATCAGCCGTATCTCGCGTCTCTCCTCCGGTACACAGCACCGTAGTGTGGAGTTGCATTAGGTAACGCGAGATACGGCTGATACTTGCGCATTAGTTTCTGTTATGGATCAGTATCAACAGTCCTGCCAGTAACGTTACTATATTATCAATGCTACGTTAGTTATAGCCTGATATGATAGCTAACTTTACAATGTTGTGATGTGACGTTAGCTAACATTCTGTAGCTAACGCCGGTCACTCACCAAGATAGCTGCCCAGTTCTCCACTGGTTCTCCTCACACCACAGCTCAATTTCTCTCCGA